ATATATATATATATCCGAAACGGTATGTAATATTTATGTAAACGTGTGTTCCCTGGACTAATGTAGGCCCCCGCTGCCTGACCTTGCCCCGTGTGTCTGACGATGCTAGCCATGTGGCGAAGTGGACAGATAGGGACCGGGTTCGCGCCTCTCCGCCCGGACCCGCACCCAATGGACACTTGTAGTCAGTCTCTGACCAACTCTCGTGGCCGCCAGGGGGCGTCTTTGTGCCCACTGGACACTGCCAACAACAATGACATAACCGCTGGAGATGAGCTAGAAGGACATTGTGGTGGTGCGTGGTGCTGTCAGCATTGTCGGCGCGTGCATAGCAACGGCGTCCATATTAACAGTGTCCATAGCAGCGGCATCCATAGCAACGGCATCCATAGTAACGGCGCTGCCGCGGGACGACCGGGTGTTGTGGGCGGAGATTTTCCCAGCAGCGACAACCCCTCGACACTCTCGCGTGAGGACTGCTGTGACGTCACTCTGTCTTCTGTGAACGGCAGAGCGGAAAGTTCCCACGGAAGCAGTTGTGACGTCACAGATGGTGTGCAACGTTTCCTTGACAAGGACTCTGAATGTGTTCATGACGTGTCGGGACTTTCGTCTGTCTCTGACCCCAGCCATGCTGGTAACGGTCTCTTTTCCCAATCTCACTCCGTGTCGGCGCGACCAGACGATTCAGAGGCCTTGGATTCCCCAACTGGCACTGGGAATTCCCCTTTGGATACCGGGAATTCCATTATTGGGACTGGGGATTCCTCCTTTAACTGCCTTGCTGTGAACGGTGCAGAGAACAAGGAGAGTAGTTGTGCTGGTGATGGATCTTGTAGTTCGGGTTTTCCCGACAGTTTGGTGGATGATTCTTCTACTATCCGGTATGTGGAGAGCTGTGGAGGTGCTCGTATTCCCGACAACAGCAACTACCACAACAACAGCAACAGCAACAGCTACAACGACAACGACAACGACAACGATGATGATGAAGTTCGAGTGGGCGACTCCCAAGTCCGACCGTCTCTGAGGCGCGCCGTCAGCGTAGTTGACAGCAGCAGGTCATCCGTGGTGACGTCATGCGTCCAGACGTCTCCTGACGTGAGGTCACGTGATTCTCGAGCTGTGACCCGCCGGGCCAGTTTCCCGCGCGCCCTGCCCACCATCGCCGAGGCAGGCCTGTGTCGCTGTGAGCGGTGTGTGGCTGGGGACTTGTGCTGTGCTGCTGCTGCTGCTGCTACTGCTGCTGGTGCTGTTGTAGATGGTGGTGGTGGTGGGTGTGGCAGGGAGCCTCGCCTCGTCGATGTGGGAGCTGCCACCAGGAGGAAACAGTCTTTGCCCTCACTTACCTCGTCTTCTTCCACCTCTTCTTCCTCCTCCTCCTCCTCCCCCATCTCGTCTTCTTCCACCTTTTCTTCCTCCTCCTCCTCCCCCAGTTCTTCCTCATGCTCAGCTTGCTCCGCCTCCTTCTCCTCATTGCCTTCCCCTTTCTCCGCATCTCCCTCCACTTCTTCCTTTGCTGCGTCCTCCTCCTCCTCGTTCTCAGTGTTGCCTTCAGAAACCACGCCCACATCGCCATCAAATCGTGATCTCAAGGAGGAAAATTCTCACATCGTAGATAATGATAGCACACAACTTTGTCAATCCAGAGTTGTGGATGACGATGGCGGTGGTTGTGATGATGATGGCGGTGACGATAATGATGATTCTGGACTCCAGGTCGGTTGTGAATCAAAGCCTAAAGGGGACACCTGCCAATGCAAACACAAAGATCTTCCAACTTCAAACGTTTCCGAGTTGTCCAGTAACAACAAGTGCCTTATGACTCCGCCCACTCCCTCACCAAGCCCCGCCCACTTGCTGTGTCATGGAGACCTGCCAAATCACGTGACTCCAGACCACGCGATGTCTGCCTGCTCCCATAATGCTACCTCTGCCGACGCACAAACTGTCTCCGCCTCGGACGCGATGCTCTCGGAAGATGACAGTCGCCCCGCCCCTACATGTGACAGTCGCCCCGCCCCTGCATGTGACAGTCGATCCGCCCCTACATATGACTGTTGCCCCGCCCCTCCGCCCTCCTCTGCTCCCTCCCTTAACCACGCCTCCTCTCCGCCCCGGCCCCAGCGGTCCCGCGACCTGGAGCTGACCCAGCTGTCTTGTGCTGACCACCCCGAGGGGCGTGTCCTGTCTGGGAGGGGCGGGGCCGGGAGGCGGGCCTCGCATGGAGATCTGGTGTGGCTGAGACATGTCAAGTCTTTCTCCTGTAACTACATGTAAGTGTGTGTGTGTGTGTGTGTGTGTGTGTGTGTGTG